ACATAAGTTGAGCTGTATCATATGTGTGCAGGTATAGAAAATGTAGTGCATACATGGTTGGATGCAACCTGCAGTTTCAGCAGCCCCCAGGTGCCTTGGATTGTAACCTCTGCAGATGAGGAAGATCAGTGTGCTCAGTGTCATTTAATCAGTTGCATCTTTAAACATAACAGTTGACTTATCCCTGTAAACCAGAACTCAGCATGAGCAGGAACCCCAGGGCAGCGGGCCCACTCTGGACCAGCAACTGTCCCAGGATGTGGGATCTGGGTCCTGCAGCACCTGCTGTCTTTCCAGCTGCTCCTAAGATGGTGGTTCTGTGACCTCCTCATGGGAGGTAAAGCCCAGTGGGTGCTGTTACTCTAGTCTAGGAAAGGAGCTCTCTGGGCAGTAGCTGGGGAAGTCTCAAGCTAAACCCCCCAAAGCTTGTCCCAACAGCTCGGCCATTGCCTGGCTCTGTCCACATCGACCCATCCCATAAGTCACAGGGTTTTTGTAGTGGAAGCTGCCTGTCCACAAATGCCATGTGCTTCATGAGACAGATGTTATTTTTGCCCTCATAGTACTATGCTTAGCAAGCATTAAGGTCATTAGCCAGGTATTTAACTGTGGTCAGTAAATGCATTTTTATATGAATAAAATATGAATCAAATATCCTTCTCTGTATCCAAAAAAGAAAAATATTGACCTTAGTCAGCATTCAGCAAATTTTAGTTTTCTGTTCCTGTCATATGCTAGGTACAGTCTGGATCATGGCCCTGAAGCAGCACCTGAGCAGGCTGTAAATAAAATAAAGACCACTCTATAAAGATCTGGGAACAAATGTCCAGACAGAAGGAGCTGCAAGTGCACAGAGCCTGGGGCTAGGAGAGCTGGGCCTGCTGAATGCCAACAGGACCAGTGCTGTCCGACCTGCAAGAGAACGGGGCAGGACAGGGTTCTGCGCATCACAGGGGAGGCTGTCACTAACCTCAGGGAGCCCACACAGCTCTCCAGAGATGGGCCAGGTCCTGGCACTTGATAAGCTGTACTGAATGTTAGCCATCACAGGTAGAAATGACAGCTGCATTGGGCAAAGAAATGGAAGAGCAAGATCTAGACATGGAAGGGTTTGGCACATTTGGAGATGACCAGAAGAGGAGATGCCAGACCCAGGCTGGGCAGGGAAAGAGAAGTACAGGGGCAAGTTGGTAGTATGGTGAGAGATGGCCCCTTGGGTGATGGGGTTGACCTGGGTAGAGCGGGGTGGGACACAGCTTGGCACGTTGAGGCCCCCGGAGTTAGTGCCACTGGCTCTGAGTATAGACTACAGGCTAGGCCATCTCATGCATCAAGTGCCCTGTGAGGGGTCAAGGGCTTCTGGCACGAAGGCAAGAGGGAGCCAGGCAGTGAGGAGACCAAGATGAAGAGCTGAGCTGGCCGCAATGTGGGCTTGGGCTGGTAGCTGCTGGTGGTGTTTATGCTGCTATGGGAGTGCTTGGAGTTGGAGCTCTCACCTCGAAAATAGCCTCTGAGGGCTTCCTATGTTGTCCTTGGCTCCTTCCCTGTCTGGCCCCCCAATAAGGCCTGTGTGGACACACTCATTAAAGTGACAGGGCACTCCTCTTACCACACCCCCCCTCACTGCCCTCTTTGCCTGGGCAGCTGTTGCCTTCTAACACACATGTATGATTGTCTTTGTGTATTGTCTGTTGCCCTAGGTGAGAATGTAAACTTACCTGAACGCAGGGCATATTGTTTTTGTTCACAGCAACTGTATCTCAAATAGCTAGGATAGTGCCTAATGTAGAAGGGATGTGACAAATGTGTGTTAAATAAATAAATGATGGAGGCTGCAATTCAAAGTGGCAGCAGTAATCGAGGGATTGGGCCTTAGAGAAGATCCAGGTGGGATCCCTAGACTTTGTGTGAGGCTGGGGAGGACAAGAGTAGGGCGAATGCACAGGTTTCAGATAAGGGGTAGTATTGCCCTTGCTTGGAATAGACAGCACAGGAGAAAAGTGGGAAGCTGGGACTGCTTGGGAGCCATCTGTGAGCCCAGTTTCTGGCTGGCAGCACTCCGTGGGCTCAGCAGTACTGTCTTTCCGAGAGGTGGAGGATGGAGGTTCCGCCACTGAAGCTGGGAGCTTGATGAAATTGCAGTCAGAATGTGTGCAGCAAAGCAGGGCCCTGGAAAGCAATGCCCTATTGTTGGCAGCTGGGAGGAAAGCCACCAGCAGGAGAGTGATAGAGAAGAGAGGAGGAGTGCCCTGCATGTAGAGCAGGCGCTACAGAGAGGTGAGAATTGAGGAAAGGGCACTGGATGTGTCTGCTTAGAATTTCATTTGATTGAAATTGTAAGGAACAGATTCTTTCATTGGCTTCAATTTTAAAAATCTGCTGTGATTCCATTCCAGCTTCCAGACAGGTGGTCTGTGCTAAGGAGCGGTTCTGGCCTTGCACCTTTCTCAGCCATCCCCGTGCTGTGCAGACCTCAGGAATGGGTCAGGCACAGGTTGGTCTCGGGGTTCTGGCTGGAGCTCTGTGGCATAAGTAGATATGAACAATGCATGTAAAAGTGTAAGAACTCTGAAGCAAAAGAGTTGAAGGATTTAAATAGTAACCCTTGACTTTCCACTTTTGACTATGAAAGCAGATATCCAAAGAAGTCACAGTTAGAAGAGTTCAGTCTGAACCAAACATCCTCACAGATATAATCATGTCTGTATTAGCAAATCCAAGCTGGTTGCGTCTCTGTGAGACTCAAGAATACAGCGCCTGAAATAACAAAGATGTTGCTGTCTAGCTGGGCACCTGTAATCCCAGCACTCTGGGAGGCTAAAGCAGGAGCGTTCTGAGTTGAAGCCCAGTCTAGGCAACTTAGTGACTTAGCAAGAGATTGTTTCAAAATATAATTAATTAATTGACTAATTAATGGCTGGGAAATAGCTTAGTGTAAAGGTCCTGGGTTCAATCATCGTTACCACAAAAGAAAACAGCTGTTGATGTCTTTGGGTAAAGTCAGGAAGTGATGTTCCTCTCAGGTAGGGACTCAACCAGGTCACGATGGGATCCAGCCTGTTGCTTCCACCATCCTCCAGCCACGGTGACTTGGTGGCTTTGGTTGCTGCCATGACAAAACAGTGGCCAGAGAGAAGGAAGAGAAAGCATGTGAAGGGGTCTCAACCCAGAGATACAGCCTTCCCTTCAACTGGCAAGTACTTAGTTCCCTGGCTCCGCCTAACTCTAGGACCTCGGAAGTGGGATATCACCAAGTTCCCAAGAAGAGGGGAAAAGATTTCAGAGTAGTCTCACCCAAACAGCATTGGCCTTTACTACTTCTATCAAGATCTGCGTGCTGTAAAAGTACTGTGGGAACTCACCATTGGCTGTCACTGCTGTTGTGCAGCATCTGAGGATAGCATCCTGCATAGCTGAGCCATTCTTGAAGATTGCCAGGGCACCAGCATTTCTAAAACTGGCCACAAAGCCATCTCAGATCCTCAGAATTCATCGGCTGGAAACAGCGGGCTGGTCCAGAACATTTGAGCCATGGAGATGGTTGGCATTTCCTTAGGTGGACTCCTATTGGCAGCCTTGTTACTGGCCTGGACATTTTATTTGCAAACATTTGTGTGTGTTAGCCTGAGGCAAAGTGAGAAGAAAATGCTCTCTATTTTTATGGAGAGACATAATTCCCAGCAGCTATATGGGGTGATTCATTAGACTCTATTTTATGTTAGAATTAGTATTGTCTAATTTTAAAACATATTTTTAAAAAGATGGATTCTTTGAGCTTTCTGTTTTTGAAAGATAATAAACTCATTTTGGCAGCAGTTTTTAAAGCATTGCCAAAGTTAATTGGGCTTTCTGACAGCGGGGGTTTGCCATTAGAAGGATTTATCTTTGCTTCTATTCGACGCTGATTCATATTCATTTAAGTTACAAACTATTCTGCCTACCCACGTCTGTAGAGCTGGAAAATGTGTGCATATTCACAGGCATATTCATTATTCAAAGGAAAGGTATCCATATTGACAGATCGTTTCATTATCCAGGGAATTATATACTAGTGGCTAGAAAGATAAGGTCTATCTTGACTTACTTGCATACCTGTAGCAGAAATATAATCTCTGTTCTCATAAATAAACTGACTTTTATCTATAAATGTATTGCACAGTTCTAAAGAGTTGCAGAGTCTTAATTAATTAGCTGGGGCAGGCAGATAGCAAGTTCAAGCCTAACTAGGACAATTTAGCAAGGCCCTGTTTTAAATTTGTGAAAAAAAAATTTAATAGGCTGCAAATGTAGCTCAGCTTGAAGGCCCTGCATGCACTGCCAGGCATTGAAGGCCCTGGATGCAATGCCTGGCACTGCAGAAAAAGGCAGGGGGCAGGGATGGAGCAGGTGAAGATAAGGTGTTCTGTGCATTGGGGAAAAGGAAACGCTGGCTCCATGTGGCCAGGACCACACTGGAGCAGAGAGCCCTGAAGGAGGACTCCCAGCAAGGGAGGATAGAGGGACAAGCCAAGCCGGTTCTTCCCAGCACATGGCAGTGTGGAATGGCCCCAGTGCATCAGCACTGCCAGTGTGGTCAGCTCCTCTCACTGTGGAGAAGACGGGAACAGAGGCCTTGACTGAGCTGCCAGAAGGCCAGTGAGTGCCTGGTTCCATCCAGAGAAAAGCTGGCTGCGAGCATGAAGGACAAAGGGTCGGAGGACAGGTGGCAGGATACCTCTGAGGTGGGAGACACCTGAGGGGTGTCCAGGGCTGGCCTGTGGGGCACTGGTGGTGGCCAGCTGGCTGGACAGTCAGCAAAAAGGCAGAGCGGAGCCCTCGGCGCCATGCTCAGCACAGATGAGGGACCCAGAGCGTACTCGCAGAGGGCTTTTTCTATGCAGTCACATCACCAGGAAATTGGAATTTAAAAGTGATTGAGCAGAGTCTATGGCTGTGGCAAGAAAAGCTGCAGTCTGACTGTCCAAGGGTCGGGCCACTAACTCTCGGTGTTTTCCCTCTAGGAAACCATACCACCCCAAACTGGAAGCTTTCGTTAGTCACATGTCAAAAGGACCTGAGACCGCTTTCGAAAGCCCCTTAAGCTCCCTGCCTCCTTTCCCCAACCACCCTCTGTGTGAGATGGGAGAACTCACACAGACAGGTACGTGTGGCCGCCACCCTCCGGGACCCCCTCCCTCCCTTCTGTCTACCTTCAGTACTCTGGGTGAAGAGCCTGGGGGCCAGCGGGGAGAAGTGGGTGGCAGTGCAAGAAGCTCAGAAGCTCTGAGGTATGTGATTAAACATCTGCTTTCTTCAAATTAAGGTGACCTTTCTTCTTACTACAAAGCCAGTATGTATTTCAGAAGAGAAATTACGAGATGCGCACAGGATGTAGCTCAGTGGCACAAGTGCCTGCCTGGCAAGAGCAAGGTTCTGAGTTTGATTCCTGGTACCAAAAAGAAAGAGAGAAATTAAGAAAGCCAACAAAGAAAAAAAACACCCCCAAAATAGACCTGAGTACTTCTTTCCTCATGTACTTAGGTGCACAGGCATCCAGAAGTGTTTCTAAACACACTTTGGTGACCCACTTTTTCATGTAAGAATGGATGGGGATCCTCTCTCCCTGTCTATGATGTTTACACACAACATCATTTGTGATGGCTGATTGTTGTTGTTACTGTTCTGAGGATAGACCATAATTTACTTAACTAATCTTACATTCTGGAACTTGATGTACAAGATCTCAGGGAGATGAACACGTGGCCAATTCCTGCCATTACTGGAGTCTGAGTAGCCAGGTCAGGTCCTCATGGAAGCCCAGATTTCCCTCTGCAGCCTGGTTGTACCACTGTGCACCCAATTGTGGGTCCCCTGTACCAGGAATGAAGCATCAGGTGGCTCCTCCAGAGGCTCCAGGTGCCTGGTGCTACAGACTGCTCCAGGTGCCTGGTGCTACAGACTGGAACGCCAGAGGACCTTGGCTTGGTCACCAGCCTTCGTGAGAGAACGGGGAGGACTGTGGCCATCCTGTTTTCTTCTTCCATACCAGCATTGTGGGATCTCAGTTTAGATCAAAGGAGCTTTCTGTCCTATAGTTGGCCCTACTGGGTTTAGCCAGGCTTCGAGAAACCATCATTACTGGGGGAATGATAGTAAGCCACAATGGAAGGCTCAAAGGCCTAGCTTTGGCCGCAGTGTTGGTTAGAAGCCTCTGGGATTTAGTGCGACATCCATGAGTTCTGGTTAGTTTAGAACAAGGGTTTTCATCCTGCCACCTCCAGCACCTGCTCCTGTTCACAAGCGTTCACAAGTATTGTGTTCTTTTTCAACAACCCTGAAGTGAAATTTCAATATAACTATTTCATATCTTTCATTTCTTAGAAAAGCTATATCAAATATCCTGTAACAAGCAAAAGAAAACATTTATTTTTTAATTAGGCATGTCTCAGCCTCAGTGCTTGGGAATAGCTACACTAGAAAATATCATGAAGTAATCCAGAGTCTGTACCTGACCATGACAGCCACAAACACAGGTGACAGAGGGACGTCAGATCAGCAATTCAAACATGACGTGTCAGTGTGTGGTTTTTCTAACAAGTTCTGCTCAAAACAGAGTACTGACGTCCCTTACATTGCATTTCTAGAAATTCAGTGGATGTTAAAAATTATGCAAAATTATATGCATAATTATATGTTTATGGACACAAGAAAAACCATATTAGGTTCTAGGCTAAACTAGTCAGAGAGCTGTTCACCACGGGAATGTCTTGTGTGACATTCAGAAGTCACATGGACAGTGAGCGCCCGTCCCAGGTGGAGTCCCCAGCTACCCTGAGCCAGGAACACCCACCCCGAGTTGTTGTGGAGATTTCACCTCCCCGGCCCACCTGAGGGCAGAGCTAGGCTTGCTGCTGGTTACAGCTCCTACATATGAATACCACAGACTCAAGTGAGAATGAAAAGTTCTAAAGAGGATTTGGGATGCCTCAGATTCCAAGGGCAAGATCGTGACCAGGTGTGCAGAGACTGGAGCTAAGGCTGTCCCGTCTCTCCCTCTCACTCTGGACCTTTGCTGTAGCTGCCAGCACCATGGCAGTCCTAGCCACAGCTAGAGACAAGCTTACAAGTCCAGACCCTGGAGGCTCACTTGAAGTGCTCTAAGGTTCACTGGCTGTGACAAGGAGTGAGGATGGGGTATCGCAACGGGGGAGGGGAGGGGGAGAGGGAGATCTAGGAAGAAGTTGGGAGGACTCCACACAGTTGGAGGTAATCATTCTTTTGGACTTTTCAAATGATCTATAACTGTCTCCGTGTTTTAAGTTAGTATTACTCTAGAAGTCATTTTTTTTGCAGTTCCATTTATTCCCATTCCTGTGATCTTTTTAATGGTCACTTCATCTTCTATTTTAAATGTCATTAAAGTGCATAGTTGTTGTAATGATCACTTATAACTGGCACAAGTGCCACCCCACCATTGCCTCCTTGGCTCCCATGGCCTTGCAGTTGCTGAGCACAGGAGCTGGCCAGCTCAGTGAAACCCTCCCAGCTTGACCTCCACTGTGCTGCAGCAAAGACAGCTGTACTGCCCAAGCTGCAGGCCTTGGAGAATTCACACAGCCTGGGGCTGCAGACCTGTGAAGCAGGGCTGGGGGCGGGTGAAGTCAGATACCAGTTGTAGAGTGGCTTGCATGGTTCTGTATAAACCTGTGATAGGCTTGCAACAAACACAGCTGACATTGCCAGACAGGAAGTACACCAGACCCAGAAGGAACTGTGAGTTTGACCCAGGAGATGGTGAAGGCCGACTGCAAAGAAAGTGAGCACAGCCCAGCACTGGCTGTGGGCTTCCCTTGGCAGAGGAAGGGACAACAGCATGAGCTGGGTTATGAGAACATGGGGTGTGTTTGGAGAGGGTAAGAAGGCCTAACTTACCAGAACTTTTGGGCAAACACTGTGAGCGAGGCCTCAGAGCCCAAAATCGGGGCCAAACCAGGCCTTGAGTTTTGGCTCTGCCACTTCTTCTCTGAAGGACTCAAGGCTGTAGTTTCTTTGCCTGTCCTAAGGAAGAATGGTACTAACATTAACACACTTTCCTCTTGGGTTATTGGGGGAATTAAGCAAAAAATGCCTGACATAAAATAAGCATTCCACCTTGAATATATTTTGCATAATATAAGATAGGCCTGGAGGTGAATTGAGATCAGACCCAGGTTCTTCATTTTGGTAATTTAGGATTTGCCTCCTTTTGCAAATCATTTTACAGACGCTAAGGCTGCTCCCAGCCAGGTCTCTGAGGGAACTCTGCTCTTAGGCTCCTCTTTAAGAGTACAGGCTAGGCATCCTAGATGGCGGAGAAAAGAGTGGGGCTAAACAAGTCTCTGGGCCAATTCTTTCCCTCTGTCTTGTGACTTTCAGCCCAATGTGCCACCTCTTGGCATGGAATTGCCATCTGGATAAATCTGGGCATCTGAATGATTGGCGTTCGCGGGCACAGGGACTGTGTGCAGTTCACACCTTCGACGAATTCATGCTCGGTGCTAAGATTGCCGCTTCCATGTCCCGCAGGCTGAAGTAGAAGCCTCCTGTTGTCTTCCATTGCCTTCTCCTGCTTGGGTTTCTCTTCTCTTTAAAGTCTGTTTATTATTATACCATGGTAGTATAGAACTAAAGTGATAGTAAAAGGTAGACTTAAAAATTCTTGCTTCCACCCACATCCTGCCCCCGTCACTTCCATGCCCCCAGCATCTCCAGGAAACCACTGATGCTCATTGCTTCTGCTCCTTCCAAAATCTCCGCAGGCAAAACGTGGGCAACTGCAAATATACATTCTTGTGTTCTCCTCTTTTTCATTTGAAAAGAGGAGAAAGGAGCATAATCAGCATACTCTTCTGCAATTTGCTTTTTATAAAAAATATGCTGTCTGGGGATCTGGAAGCTTGTTGCTGAACTAGAGAAGCCCTTTGCAGGGCCACACAGAGTCTCTCACCAGGAGGTGAGGAGAAACTCCTCCTGGGCAGTGTGAGGGGAAGGAGGTCAAACGGGGGATGTCCTGCAGCCAGAGGACTGAGCTCCAAGCAGGTAACTGACTGTCATCTCCACCTGATGGATGTCACAGTCACCCTTGCACAACAGGGACCGCTGTGTCCCTGCACAGGGGGGACAGCTCATCTGAGGCCCATGCCTGCCACAGCCTAGCGGCCCGGCTGGGTGAGTCCTGCTCTCTGTGCCCTGCCAGTCATGGTGCTTTCCCCAGAGAAAGGGCAAGTTGAGCAGCAGGAGGAAGGCAGATGGTCCTTAGGCTCCCCACAGAGGCCCTGCCCCAGTCAGCTCACAGACAGCCCGCAGAGGTTGAAGTGGACCCGTTCTTGCAACGCCTACATGGTGGGGAAATGGCCTTCATTATATTGGCTTACTCTGGCACCGACTCAACTTCTCCTTCCTTCCTCTTGTGCCGCCCTGGTAGTAAAGAGAGCCCTGTGTCACCCTGTGTTGCAGGAGTTGTGCAGCACTTGCAGAATGGCCAGTTGCTGAGGGACATCTATGTAAAGAAACACAAGCTCCTGCCGGCTGACTGGTCTGCAGACCAGCTTTACCTAGAGACCACTGGGAAAAGCCGCACGCTGCAGAGTGGGCTGGCCTTGCTCTACGGCTTCCTCCCAGATTTTGACTGGAAGAAGATTTATTTCAGGCACCAGCCAAGTGCCCTTTTCTGCTCTGGAAACTGTTACTGCCCGCTAAGAAACCAGTATCTGGAGAAGGAGCAGCGCCGTCAGTATCTCCTGCGGCTGAAGAACAGCCAGCTGGAGAAGACCTACGGGGAGATGGCCCGGGTCGTGGGCATCCCCACCAAGCAGCTGCGGGCCGCCAACCCCGTAGACTCCTTGCTCTGCCACTTCTGCCACAACGTCAGCTTCCCCTGCACCAGAAGCGGGTGCATTGACATGGGACACTTCAAGGTGATCAGGATGCATCAGATAGAAGATGAGAAGGAGAGGCGCGAGAAGAAGCTGTACCTCAGGTACTCGCTGCTGGGTGCCCACCCTATCCTGAATCAAACCATCAGCCGGATGCAGCGTGCTGCTGAGGGAAGGAAAGATGAACTCTTCGCCCTCTACTCTGCTCACGATGTCACTCTGTCACCAGTCCTCAGTGCTTTGGGCCTTTCAGAAGCCAGGTTCCCAAGATTTGCAGCCAGGCTGATATTTGAGCTCTGGCAAGACAGAGAAAAGCCCAGTGAACACTCGGTCCGGATTCTTTACAACGGAGTGGATGTCACATTCCACACGGCCTTCTGCCAGGACCACCACAGGCGTTCTCCCAAGCCCATGTGTCCCCTTGAGAACTTTGTCCGCTTTGTCAAAAGGGACATGTTTGTGGCCCTGGACAGCAGTGGTACGAATTATTACGATGCCTGCCACATGGAAGGAATCTAAAAGGTACATGGGGCAGCACTACAGAGCCTGTACCGACACAGAAGGCAGGGAAGAGTCCACTCCTAGATCTGTGTGTTGCTAAGCGTATAAGAGTATTGACTTTCAAAGGCTAAGACTTGTGTATGGAGCTGTGTAGGTGGTTTGGACTGAATAGAAGCACATAGCTATAATCTAGTACATGAGTTACTCGGTACAAAGTGGCCAGATTGTAGAGAAAAGAAGGTACTTTCACACGGTCAAACTGGGCTTACAATGCCAGGATAATATTAGTTCATATTCTTTTGGCCTATGGTGGAGCCAGCAAAAGCTCAGCCCAAATTTTCTTAATATTGAATCTTTTTACCTTGTCCTGGTTCAGTGATTTATCTAAAACAGAGGTTGGTCTTTTTTTTTTTTTTTTTCTTTCCTATAAAGGTCCACAAAACATTTCAGACAGTGCAGACCGCAAGGCCGCATATAGTCCGTGGCCCAGCTACTCAATTCTGCCTTCGTAACATGAAAAGTAACCACAAACCATATACGGAGGGGTACGTGTGGGGCTGTGTCCATGGCTGTACCAAGATCACGGGCTGCAGTTTGTTGTTCCCTGATTTAAAAAACAGGCTCCACTCTGCTTGCACTTCCTGCACTTTGAGAACCAGTTGAATACCAAGAATTGTTCAAGGGCTCCTCTGGTGACTTGCGCTAGCAACACAGAATATGGTGATGTTACAATAAAACTTGATGGAGAATAAACATTTGGATCAGAACGAATCATAGAAATATGATTAGAATAATACTTGATGTTCATGATGATTGTGGTACAAAATAGTTTTAAATATGTTCCAGATATTTGTCTGCTGTAGTCTACTTGCTGTAAATGCTGAAATTTTTGTATTGCATTTAGTATTTTTATAGTCTAGGCAAATATTTTCTAAGCTAAGTTTTAGATGTGCTTTTATTCCTCTATAGTAATGTTCCATTTCCTGTACCTTCTTGGCAGTTGGAAGGAGGCCAGAAGCTGAATTCAGGTACTTTTTTCCAAAAAGACTAAGGATGGCTCATTCCGTTTGACAAGCCATCGAACTGGATCAATTTTTAAAGGATTTTCCTCTGTTTCAAATGGTAAATTCCAATTGATTTTTAATACGTTTTTAGAGGAACTTTGTTACTAGATAGTTGGATACTATTTCTAAGGTATTTTATATATCAGAAGCAATTTGATTAAGTCTGTGATTTCTGAATGAATGGTGCTAGTTCTCTCCAAGGAAACGTGAAAAGCACGAGTGAGATTCTCTGGTGGAGTTGGAGTCCCCACCCCTTTATCTCTTTGTTTTTTGTCTGGTGTTGCATTGGATTGTGTCTGTTTCTATGAATAAATTTTTGAAGAATACTTACCCCTTGCAAGGAATGGTGTCTGCTCATAAGTCATTCCCGTTCTTTCAAGTGAGAGCAGCATTTTAACATTTTATTTTAACTGCTTTGTTCAGTGTTGCAAATCATACTCGCTCAAGCAGTCAGAGCCTATTCAGGGCCTCCTCTCCCACTCACGGTATATCTGAACTGGAATTGCTAAGCACAGCTTGAGGATTTAAAAATAGAAATCAATTCTGAAGACTTTTTAAGGAAATTCATAATGTCTCTTGATAAAAGTAAATATTTTGGTTAGCACCAAAACATATGGACAAACGTTTTGCCTCCTAAGGTGTCAGGTGTGTGCAACATTGAAACGCATTCCTCAGGATTGAATTCTGAGCCACTTTATTCTGCAGCAAACACTCATCACTGAGCTCAGATTGGTGGACTGCCCTCGCCAGATCGCCATGTAGACAGACACATTCAGCTTTCTTGTTTTTATGATTAAAATTAATACATGTATAACAGGAAAATAATACTAAAAAAATGAAAAAATAGGGTTTTTTTAGAGAGGAAAAAGCAAAACTCAGACTGAAACTCTTTTACAACATGCTGCTAAAAAGCAGACATGTAAGGACTTTCCCCTATATATACACCAAGAAAGCAAGCATTCCTGTATTTAGTGTCATCTAATTTATTACTGTCATGAAATGACCTGTCTGGAGAGAGTATCAGACCCAACAGATTGAGGGCTCAGTCCCCAGAACTGCTTCTCTCTCTCTCTCTCTCTCTCTCTCTCTCTCTCTCTCTCCCCCCTCCCCCCAGATGCCAGTCCAAAGCTCTGGTCATTTTACCTGTGCTTCTTTCTGCCTGATCCATAAACTGGGGTTGCTGGCATTCTCTGTGGGGTTAACTGACATGCTCAGGCTTATTATACAGGACATTACAAAGGACACAGATGAAAAGTTGTCAGAAAAGGTGTGAGGAAAGGTAAGGCACGTCCATGTCCTGTCTTGGTTGTCACCTTCAGGAGCCTTGGTGTGCTCAGTCACCTAAACTCTGCCTTTGGAGTTTTATGGAGACGTCATTGCACAGGCATGACAGATTAAACAGCTGGTGATCGACTTCACTTCCAGCCTTTCTCCCTTGTGCAGAGACAGCTTGTGATAGGGCTGAGAGCTCTAATTTTTTTTTAGCCCCATCTCCACTGACCGGCTCCCAACTCCCATCCTGAAGCTGTGTAGGACCTGCCACTAGTCACATCACTCAAGTACACAGCCAAGATACTATTACTTCAAAGATTTCAAGGATTTTAGGACAGGATGAACACTAAATAAATTTTCTACAATATCACAGCCTCTAATTCCCACCTCTGGTGATAACACTGCCCACTCTTTGGCAGATATTGTGGAAATTTTCCATACAGGTATAAAAATATCTATAACTTTAAATAGGAACAAGATGATTTTGTAAAGTTCCATGACTTTTGTTAAAAATATTTTTTAATAATTTGTTGCTTTTAACAATATGTTTTGGTCTTCATCATTAACTTTCTCCCTTTAGCAGTATCTCTTAAAGATGATTCCATTTTTAGACAGCTCCAATTATAGCCACTGGATAATATTTCACAATGTGGATTAAACATATTTTTAAATCTCATTAAAAATGCATGAAACTTAAACCAACATTCTAAAATAAGACTACAAGGCTTTACATAGAACAAACCAGAGGCCGGCAAACATGTTGACTGTCTCCCACTGAGCAGTCAACCCTTTTTCATTGCAGCCACGGGTATTTATTAATACAAGTATTCATCCTCCAACAGAATTGAAGAACTTAATTAGAGGCTTTTAGCAATTAATAGCCTAACAAATAGATGGGTAAGCCAGTTTGAGGGTCTTTGTAGGTACCACAAAATTAGACTTTCTGGAAGACCTGGGTCTCAAAGACTGAGGTGGGAGGGACTGGGATGCATGCTTCTGTCATCCCAGAGCCTTCTGCATAGATGCGCCAGCCCTGGCTGAGGTAAGTGTGCCCTGCTGCACAAAACACAAACACAAATAGAATGCAGAAGACAGTGGGGCCTAGACAGCAGTTCAATCCTGTCTTTGTTACTCTTCTCTCATTGCTGTTACTCTTCTCTCATTGCTGGGACAAAATACCCAACACCTGACATTAAGGCAGAAAAGGCTTATTTAGCTCACAGTCAGTGGTGGTTTCAGTCCATACTCAGCTGGCTCCAAGGCAGAGCGACACATGGCTGAGGGCAGCAGTTCGTGGTGGTGGAAAACAGCAAAGAGCAAAGGGAGGGGCAGTGGCTGCAACTGATAGCAAGCCTCCCCTCTTCACATTGTAATGCAGATTACTCACCCCAGGGCAGGGCTAGCACTCACATCCTTAATCCCAGCACTGGATCATGAATTAATCACAAACTCTAGAAGCCACCCCATGACTGCATGAGGCTTGGGGGGGGGGCACCTAGACACAAACCAGAACAACTCCCATTGCTGAGGCTGCCCGCTGAATGCTGATTATGGCCCTGCATGTGTACCTGCCCTGAGTCCAGCTCAGATGAGTAAGGAGATGCTGAGGGAACCCACAAGCTCATCAGACTGGCTGGTCGGGTCCTCCTGCCTCTGCCTGCCTAGTGCTGGCTGAGACAGGCCTCAGTGAGGAAAAAGAGTCACTGTGGGGCTGGCACAGTTCTCTCAAGCTGCAGTGTCCATGACAGAGGGATGGCCTCAGGCCTGGCTTCTGGGTACCTGTCAGTGGTGAAGGTGCCCGCTGAGAGTTCTCCCCTTGGAGGGCTCCACAAATCCTCCCAACGCCAAGGAAAGACCTGTTCCTCCAATAGGAACAGTAAGCGAGCTCAGGGTTGATGGGACTTCTCTAAAGCAAGAGTCAGCTGATACCAGTCAATTTTAAAGAGCACTTGCCATGAGATACTATGCGAAAGGACCATTTCATTTATTATTCCATTTATTTACCAGGTGCCATATTCCCTGGCATCAATGAGCAATAAAACATAGCAGGGTTACAGAAATTATTAATTTAGGTCTGAATGGTTAGAAATACCCCAATACTGCCTCTTATCTGTGGCTTGCTATTTTTAAAACTGTAATGTAAAACTAATCTTTGCAGCGATGCTATACTTGGATCGACCACTAGAGGGAAGCATCAAATAAAATTTGAGGCCTGGAGCCCAGTTTTGCTCTGTAGAGGAGGCAGGACAGTCAGAAAGTCTTACTAGGTCAACCAGCTGCCCCAATTTACCTGTCACGGAGAGGTTTCCACGGGGCGCAAGATTTTCAGTGCTAACAAGTGACAAAGTCCAAGGCAACATGGAACCAGTGGTGAAACTAAGGTTACATGCTGAGATGAACATTAGGACACTACTGTCAATTCTTGCTTTACAGGAAGGGGAAGCAAGACAGAGGGACTTGTTTAGGCGTAGCACAGCTGGCTGGTGTGCGGCAGAGCTGGAACTCAAGCTGTGTACACTTAACGGGAAGGACCAAGTGCTTCAGCAGGATATATGATAGCGCCTCTCCACGGAGGTCTATACCGGGTTCTGTGCGACAGAAACCTGATTGCGGTGGCTTAAGAGAATAAAGACTTTGCTTTCTCCACTGTCTCCACAATGCCAGCAGGAATCCAGATTCATCATGACATCTGATGGACCAGAAGGGGATTGGTCCCTTGGCCCACCTCCGCTGTAAAGGAGTCTAGGGAAGTATTTTATTAGGCACGTTGTCATTCTGAACAAAACAAGCCCAGGCTCCACTTAGAAAGGAAAAGCAAAGCAGGGCACAGACTGACAGTCTGCATCACCATCCTCCCATCCCCCACAGCACCCCCCCCCCAGCCTATTACCCCAACTGCTGCCAGTGCTCAGCTGCCAGCGCTTTCTGGGGTTGCTGGGTGAAGTCAGGGGCCCAAGGACAGGCCCACTTTCCAGGGCAGCCACATTCACTGACAGTAGCGGGTGGGGTTGGTAAGAAAAGCCTGCATTTGAGCTCATGGGGGGCGCCCAGGCCTTCTGACAGCCCAGCTTCCCCCTGAGCATGTGCCCTTCACAGTGCTGGCTCCAGAGTGCCGGAGAAAGCGTCCTGAGGGCACCCTGGCCTAGAGGGGCTTCCAGAGGACATGCTGGAGGGCAGGGCAGGTAAATCCTGGGGCCAAGCTCTCTGCTTGCCTTGGCAGGAACCCTGGAGAACCTTATAGGAAAGGAATAATGTATCTATTAACCAATAATTCCTCCTTCGGCCACTGCCTTTGAGAGGCTTACAGTTTTGTTTTAGAAGCTAACTACTGTCCACTTTCTACATCCACAGATTCTCCCCACCTCAGGTTCCATCAACTGTAGATCAAAAATACTGGGGAAAAGTTTTATCTTCCTTCAATATGTACGGATAGAACATGTACAGATTTTCTTTCATGTTACTATTCTGTAAATGATGCAATATAGCAACTGATTATATGTAATTTACATTGTATTAGGTATTATAAGTAGGGATAATTTAAGATATATAGGAGGATTGCCATTCATTATATGCAAATATGCCATTTTTTATAAGATACTTGAGAATCCACAGATTTTGGTATTATAATGGAGATCTGGTTTTATAAGGGAGTCCTAGAGCAAATCCCATGTAGATACTGAGAGATAATTGTGTGCATATATGAAAGAGCAGGAGAAATTTTATTCTGGAGGGTTTTCAATTGCAGACAGCTCTTATATCATGATTCCCATTTATTGAATATATACCATGGATGGGACACTGAGCGAATCCTTCAAGTGACATAGTCTGTGTACTGCACAGTGTAAGTTATCACACACATCTGTTACCCTTCTTCTTGCAAAAAAAGAAATTGAGGCACAGATGTAGCCAGGATCTCACGGACAGCAGGAAGCAGCGGACTCAGGCCTGAAATCTAGGTTATCCTCGACCACACAGTCTTCCAGGCTCCTCGAGCATACCACTTCCTCTGCTGTATTACTCCTGCCCCACGAGTGAGTCAGGAAAGACTGACACAGGAGGCAA